ACGGCACTCTACCCCAGGCAACACAGTGAGACTCTGTCTCAAAAAAAAAAAGTTATCATTCCCAAAAGCCTTTCCTCTCCAGGACAGTCCCACCAATTCCTTTCTTTACTCCCTGATCTTGCTGGGGAAGGGGGCAGCTTTTCCTCCCATTTCATCATTCATGGAGATCCTTTTCTTTTCAGATTACTTACGATCTTTTTCTTAGTGTGGAAATTATTACAATATCCAGAAATTGTATTTAAAGATCTTTTCACAGAATCAGAAAGAAAAGATCTGCTATCCTGTGATACCACCAACAGGACATTAAAACATAATTAGGGAATGATGAAGCCTGGATATCTCTAACTAAGTGAAGTTGCTTCTTTTCAAGCAATGTAATTTTAAGCAACTTTTGGAAGGGGCTGCGTCTTTTTTTTTAATCTTTGCACCCTCCAGAGTCTAGCACAGTGCCGCACACATTGTAAATGATGAGTGGATGCAGAATTTACAAACCTCCAGAGTCTGTCGCTGGGCAGACAGAGGCAGGCTTTAAAAGCAGCAAGATGTGGGTTCAGAACCTACCACTGTCACTTACCAGCTCAACAACCCTAGTAATCACTTAGCCTCTCTTAGCCTGCCCTGATCTAGTCAGTGGGAGTTGTGAAGCTTCCAGATGACGTGTTTAAAGTACCTGGCCACCAGCACGTTGCTCAATAAATGCTGGTAAATGTGGCAGCATCATCCACAACTACGACGGCTGATGGTGCAACCCTTTTGACAGAGGGACAAAGTGAGGTCTGAAAGAGGAATATATGGCAGTTTTCTCAGAGAGTGGACTCGGGGCAGTTAGCGCCATCTCGCCAGCATTTGCGCCCATGTGGTCAGGGAGAACACTTTTAGCATCTTCTTCTCTGGGGAAACCTGCGGTCTTAAGGAGCACCACAAAAACTCCACCCTTGTTGAAGTAAAAAGGATTATATGTGTCTCGATTCTCTTTAACGCTGGTTTCATTTGAACTTTGCTCTCCACTACAAGAGCCCTCAAATGCCAAGTATGATCCCAAGACTCCTGTAGCCACTAAATCCCCTTCCTTCCCCTCTGGCAGAACCAGAGGGATCCCGGATTCGTCCCCTGCCCCTAGGTCAGAGCACAATCAAGGCTGAAGCCCTCTAAGCCTGCACATCTAAACTATGTCATAGGTCTTCTTAGATGTCGCAGTCAAAACAGCAAGAACCTAAGAACAGCCCGTGAGGACCTGAGTGTGTATAACGCCCTTCCCACCTTTTGAAGCATCAGACACCGCTACCCACAACCTTCTCCACTATTCATTCTCTCCTGCGGCGCCAAGTCCACAGGTACCACAAATAATTTGGGGTTGTGGCTCAGAGTCCCACTGATACCACCAAGTCTCCCTGTCCGTCCTCAACCTCAGGCTTGTCCTCAGCGTTCCTGCCTCTGCCCTGTTATTTTCTCCTTAGCTTCCTGGGGCAGCAATCTCTGTCTCCCCTCCCTTTCCCCCCACCCACCCTTCACCTCCTTCCTCCTCCCCAGGGATTTTACCTTGAAGTCAGGAATAGCGAACTTGGTATTATAAGACAGGTTGGACTTGGAGGTTACAATATTCATCCTCTCCAGAGCTTGTAAATTTTCCTTATCGCCAGGGGCAGAAATTAACCAAAACTCCGACATGCTTCCAGTCTTCTCTAACCCAGGCACTGCCCAGAACCAACACAAACATACACAAACAGAAACAGGAGGAGAGATGTGTCAGATTTCCCTACTTCACCTCTCCCTGCCCTCAGAATTAATCCTCTCTAGGATCTGTCACTTTTCTCCTTTCTTTCTTATCTCTTGCCCCCTCGACCTTCCCGTTCAGTGTCTAGAGCTCCAAGGACATCAGTTTGCAAGAGCAACGTGCTCATCCACTGGGAAGCCCTCAGGTCCTCAGGAGAGGCCAAAGCTCCTCCATCCCTGGGGTGGTTCTGACTGGTTTTAAGGAGCAGAGGAGGAGAGGAAAGTTCCTTTCATTCTCTCTGCTCTGAACCCCTACCTGACATCATAAAATGGGGGACAGTAAGCTGGACCTGGACGCCTTCTGGGAGGATATTTTTCTTCCTTCCACATGGCATCTTCTGGGATGCAGGATGGGTGGAGGAAGGAAGGAGATGAGGGAGAATTGTCACAACAGGCCACAGGCCAGTTCCCAGATCTTAGCTGGCCAACCTCGAGATTGGTATTTGCTTTAAAAATAGACTTCAGAAGGGCTCTTTTTGGAAATAGAAGAGAGAGCTAGTAAGGGTTGCACTGTGCTACCGCCGAGCAGAGATGGGTACCTCCTTGCCGGGCCTGGTGGGTGGTTCCCAAGCCGCTTGCGGCCGCTCACGTCGAGCTGCTCTGCTGGGGGGACGTGTGGCCCACACCTTCCCCCGCCGCTCCTCCCTCGCGTCGCCTCCCCGAAGCGTCTCTGGACAGCTGCGGGGAAACAGGACGGTAACCTCAGGAGAGCAAAAGGACCCTCGGGGAGCCCTTTCTGTTTGACTCTCAGTCTCATTCAAATCCGAGGTCGTTCCAGTCCCTCCTAACCCTGCGCAGACCCAACGCCTGACTGCCGATGGCCTGGGGACAAGCTGGCCCTGCGCGACACCTGCGGAGATGCCACCTGCCCGGCCCGCGCGGCGGCGCCGGCTTCCCACGTTCCCGCTGAGAAACCGCGGCCAGGGCGGGCAGGACGCGGGTCGCCCTCCGCGGCCCCTCTGGTGGCCGCCCGGCGCCTCTGCCCGCACCGCCGCCCGGGTCCCCTGCGCCGCGCGTCCTTACCGGGGCCGGCGGGCCGCGCTGTCGGGGCTGCGGGCGGCGGGCGCGGGGCGGAGCGCACGGCCGGCTCCCGGCAGGCGGCGGCTTCTGCGGCCCCAGCGCCCCGCCCCGCCTCTTATCCCCGCGCGGGAGGCGGCCCGGCCCCCGCCGGACATTTGCATACGGGCCGCCCGCTGTCGCGCCCGCCGGGGACCGGCCC